GTAGCCACAGTGTTTTCCCTTTGGTTCCTTGACTAGAAGTTGTTACTAAGTGGCTAAATTACTTATCGTAATGAATTTCAGAAAGTACGCCGATTGTTTCCACAAATACGGTCAGAATTGGAAGCCCCCCCCCCCGAACCAGCAGGTGCTTGGCATAGTGTTTTAAAGATTGAATGCAAATTTGTTACCGTAACACTTTAAGGGCAAATTCAAATTTTCATATGAATTACTTGTTTATTTATTTTAAATTGAGGCACTGTTGCCCATCATTCCTAGACAATTCCTGCTTCATATCTAGCCTACATCTACTTTATTCAGTGGTGGTGAAGGGGAGGCGATGGGTTTATTTTCATGTGGCGGCAAGGAAGAGCTATACCGTAGTGATCTTTGGCGGCAGGAGCAGAGTGTGATTTTGAGTTTTATGTAACAGTTTCAAGGTTGATCCACATATTCGCGATATGTATTCTTAAACGTATGCCTGCTGATAAGAATAATGAATTTTATCTTGAAGTGATAAAAGGAATTTAACTGCATGTTGATTACAAATCTTGTCAGGGATATTAGGAATAAGATAGTATATTTCTGTTTGTTTAAACGTTTGCAATTTGGATAACATCATAGAGAGTATGTTATTGGATAGGTTTCTTGTAAAGTGTGGAGCACTCCGGAAAAGTAAATGTTCATGTACAAGTATTTACAGTGATATAAAATTGACAGTAACCGAATTTGTCACTGGCTTTCATTATACCCACATGAATGCTCTTGGCTATCCGGGATGTTTTTCAGTGATATCACACTTCAAAGCAATAAAACAGGTATTAAAAAGAAATGGAAGAAGGGAATGAAGAATTTCCAAAGTAATATTATGTGTATCTTGTAAAAATGGGCTGTGTATTTTCTTCCATTGTTTGCAGTTGTCTGCTGCTCAGACTGTTGGCCTGATACAAGCGCCCGGTGAAACTTCACAACATTCTGTTGTTCAGGGAACTCCAGCAGTGCTTGTGCAACATCAATCATCACCTCACCAACAGCATGAGCTAATTCAGCAACACAACCAACAACAAATCCATCAACAGATTCAGCATGAAATTCAGCATAAACACATACAGAGGCAACAAGAACTTTCACTGAAGAATCCACAACAGTTGCAGCAAAAGGCACCTATTATCCCTGGCTCACATCTTACTCAATCTGCACCAACTCCAGCAGAACAACAAAAAAGGCATTTCAGAGAAGCACCAGCGGATAATCCCAAAGATACTTTGTTTGGTTATCAGGTAATGCTACACTCGACACATTTTGAATTTATGTTTGTTCTGTATGTGTACTTTTGCCAGTACTTCAAGTCATCAATGTTTTGATGAAGTGACAAATTTGTTCAAAAAATTATCAATTTTGGAATTTCTGTTTTGGGTAGAATTTACCAGGTTATCTTATGCCAACAATTTGTGAAGTAATTTTGACCAAATCTTTTGAAATCAGCTGAACTGCAGGATCTGTAGTTAGGTGACATTCATGTACTGCACGTTTTCTGTTTTCATGAAGGGACAGATTTTTGCTCTTATATAGAGATTAAATTGAGCAATGAAGAGCAAAGTTCACCCAACCTGAGTAGTTTTATTGTCACACAGTGACAGATTCAACTCTCAAATTATATATCAATAGGCAATTCCGCACAAAAGTGGAAATTTGGTCTTGCTATTGATTACCTCATTATTATTGCAATGTGCCACTTGACTCACAAATGCCATTTTGCCCACATGTAACTTTGCCCACAGCTTTTGTCAAAATTGAAAAGAGAGGAAGACACAGAAAAACAACTACCCAACCCCTCGTGAATCCACCCTGAATGCCAGAAAAAATAAATTGAATGGGAATTCTAGTATTCCCACTCATATATAGGTTTTTTTTAAAATTGTCCAGGTACTCTTTAAAGTAAAGGGAGTGTAAAGCTTAAAGCAAGTGCAATGTACAAAGCGAGAACTGCATGGAATGGCTGGGAGCCTGAGATACAGTACTCCCACAACAACATTATGCTCATTCTGAACTTTGACAATCCGAAATTAACATGAAGTGATCAAAACCTTTAGAAATATTTTAGTAAGTTGGTTCACAGAATTAGAGTCGCCGTCATGCATCTAGGTATTTTCTGCTTTTCATGAAGTCTCAGTGCATGCTGTTCGAAACTTCAGAGCATTGTAATAGAAACCATTTATCGTGCATTTTTATTGTATCTGGGTCTAGATATTTTAATTATTGTATGCCAAAATTTGCACGCAATAAACCTGTTAACCATATGCTGCTAGGTTTAATTAGAATTTGCATGATAAGTTCCAAGGATTTTCAAGATTTTCCATTATCAAAATTCTTAAAGAATTCATAACTTCATTTATTGGACATTTACACATGCACGAATGACTGTCTGGTGGCTACTCTAATCTGACAGACAACATCTATTGATGCCCGAGTATTTCAGCCAGGCCTGCTGCCTTGTAAAGAGAGCCCAGATTGTGCGGGGTTGTGTAATTTCCTTTGTTCCCGAAATTGGCCCAGTGCACTGCTGGCATCTTTTTAGATGCAGCCAGATTAGCATGCAGTGGTATTGTATCGCTCATCTCTGGAGTGCTGGAGCGCTTTTGTCCCTGGTGATAATCCGTTTTCCCTGAATGCTACAGATAGTGGTAAACTGTTTCAAAACAGTAACGGATTACCTCCGCTGTTGACAACTGAAAAAATGTTTGTAATTCCCAGCAGCTCAGTCTTTTGTTCCGAGTATTGTGTTTTGTTACAAGGCCCAGCTCTTTTGTCCGATTTCAGGCATCCCAAGCTATGCAGAAACCTAAGGTTTCCGTTACTGGGAACCCTGGCATGAAGTGGTAAAAAGATGCCGAGATTTGTCAGTTAATCACAGACCACCTTGCTTTTGAAATCAGGGTGTTCATTATTACCACATGAAATATTGTAAGGGCAAAGTGGGAAATGGGGCAGGTGGCACGTGGGCTAAATATGGGCAAAGTAGCATGTGGGCAAAGTGGTAAATTCTCAAAGTTGTAAATGGGTGAGATGGCAAATGGGGAAAGTGGTTGTGGATGAAGGGATTGTGGGAGAAGTGATAAATGGGTGAAGTGACCGAAACCTGAAAGAAACCAGTTGCTGCACACCAGAGTCCTACTTTCATAGTGTTCATATAATAGATTGGTTAGACTTCATGGAGAGTAAAGACACCATGTTGTCAATTAGCCGTGATGGTTTATTGCTGTTCAATTTGTTTCATTTGCAGTTCTTGAGAGAGTTGCGATTTATGTTGTCAGATTTTCACAAGTGGTCTGACAGGCCCTGTGTTTTTTGTTGTTTTTTTGCTGCCATACTGTCCCTACAGTTCCATTTTGATACACTGTAGCAGACCTAAACTCAAATACATCACCTGTTGTTTACATAGGTGCTTTCCTACGAGCACTCGATGGATTGTGTCCCATCTTATTACCATACAAAAGCGTGCATGTAAAACAAACGGTGCTGTTACACTGTTGAATGCTTGAAGTATATTATGGATAATTCATGATGGTCTCTTGACCACCAACACTGTTAGCAGACACCTGCATGGTTTCTCAAGCAGTCATGGTCCATCAAAGGTTTTACAAGTGGTGGGCCAATTAAATGGAGGAATGCGTTCCATTATCAGAATTGTCTTACTGAAAGCAAGTAACTTTAAGGCAAGGTTTGGTACAAGTTCTTATAAGTTGCTGAAACTTTTATTACACATATTTTGTCCCCGTCCAGTTTCTAACTCACATTTACTTTCTCACTGTTTTGCATAGCATGGTCCTCCTCATTTAACTAATCTAGGTGAGAGCAGGCAACTTGTATCTGTAACTCAGGCACTGCCAGGACTAAGTGAATCTTCTGTTCCAGCACCTTATCAGAAAGGCCCAACAGTTTCTCTTGGACCACCACAGAGGATACCTATGTCTGCTCTACCATCCAGTACAAAAAAGTGAGTTTGATATCATAACTGCATGTGCACTATGGTTGTGGTCTCTAGACCACAACCATACTTAAATTTAGTTAAATGTGCCTCAGTCTTTGGCTTATCATATCATCTGGATTTGTATAGCTGTCTCTCTGTTGCAACTTCAGGTAAATCTGTTCAGGCCTGTCCTTTGACATTGGCCAGCCAGCTCTCCCTACATTGATTTTGTTGGCAGTCCATTTATGATTGCACAATACCCTGTTGTACTCGTCAATATACCTGGCACCAGATTTTGACCAGGCCAAAACATGACCCACATCAAGGTGACATCCTGCTTATAGGTATATGATGCCATTTTTAAAGGTGAACATTTAAAGGTTGTAGATCCACTTTATTAATTCACGTATGTAGGTAAGCATGAATGTATAAAAGGTTATACTGACGGTAACGTATCAAAGGTTAAACTAACGCTACCACCATAACGACATCGTCATTCCAATTTCTATAGACATTTTTCTTCATGTCTTGTGGAGTTATGTTTGTTTTGTATATTTTCTACATCTCTACTACCAAGTATGCATTTCTACCAATTGCATTTTTTTTCCAAACTTACAATTGCAAAAAAGCCGTTTGTTCTGTTGCAAACAGACAAAGAAGCTCTCATTTTTTTTCCCTATTTCAGACATTCTCCATTGGGTTTGTACACGTCTTATTGTACCATAGGACTACAAACTTGGCAGATCTTCAGACAATTATCCAAGGATAGTACTTCAACAAATTTGTCATGATGACGTCATTTATTATTGATTTTTCAATATTTACCTTTTACTTTTACATTCTATGCCTTTTTGAGACACCGTTTTGGTAACTTATTGATGTTCGATCATCATCAAAGTTACACCAAGCATGGACCTTAATGCAAAATAATACTAAAATATTCATGATTACATCAAGTAATTTATTGTTGAATTTGAATACATGTATATTATGATAAATTTTTAAACTCCATATAAAATCAACTGTGGCCTCCCGCGACATTCTGTTTGCATCAAGTGGCAGAGTTGTGTGGATCAAATACATGTGACCCTTCAGGTCGAAACTTCGAAATGCGCTTATTGCTTAACCCCTTGACGACAGGAATTTCTTCCCGAAAGCCGACTCCAAGAATTCAGCCTGGCTTGGCCATGAAGGCCACCTGCCAAATTGCAGATTCTCAGTTTGTGGCCCTGCGTGCTCTGTAGGCTTTTAATTACATGGTGAAAAGGCTGATTGTTCGGTGGCATGCAGCTCTACTCAAGCTTCCACATTCCCTCTTCATTGCCTCTTTTCAAAGTGGGTACTATTGTGAAGCTGGTGATTATAATGCAAATTCGGTCTTTTCATTTCTGGGCTACGCACAAAGACCAATTACCATATATAAAAGAGCCAGGGTCTGCCTTCTTTCACTATGTTCACTTGAGTGTGGGCCGAGAATAATAGCTGAAAAATGGGCTTAGGATCTCAATTTTTACGGCGGCTATATCCGCTTCCCTGTGCGAAGGGGTTAAAAGTGGTAGTAGGTATCAACTTTTTTTCAACGGTGTTAGTGTGTTGGGGTATAGAATTCTTCAAAACATTTACCGGTGATGTCATGTAAATGGCGAGTGCCCTCTTGGGACAGGTTGAACATTTTGAAAAATTAATTTTAAATAAGTGTCTGTGGTGGAGTTTGTCGGAATTGCCCGAAAATTGATGTGCATGATGATCTTTATGCAGTTTGCCCACGTGTGACAGTTATAGTATAAAGTCTTTATTGTTCAAAATCCCCTAAAAAGTCAGTTGTAAGAGGAAGAAGGTTGAATTGTCTATAACATGGTAGTTTAAGCATTAGAGTCCATCGCACCAAGTGTCCAACTGATGAAGCACCGACGACAAAAATGCACCTTACTTTATTTGTGAACTCGAAAATCCCATTTGTATAATACACTGTGTATTGGCATTTGTGTGGGTGAACACATCTGTCTATAACAAAGACATTGCACAGTGCATATGCATACTCACGGCGGTGAAACAATTAGCATGTAGCACGGAAGTCAGATCATCTTTTTGATTCGAACACCAAATGACCAAAATGTCATTGTTACGTGGCACTCATTTGTATGCAGTGCCAAAAGACGAAAATGTTTTCAATCCAATAAAACCTTTTCCATGCTAAATTTTTCTCAAACACAATGCTAACCCATATTGTACACATCCAATTGGGTTAGAATCTTCCCGGTCACTTGGGAGGGATGTGTTATAGATGATCATTGACCAGATCAGAAAAACATGTCTCTGAGATGGACTGTGTGTATCTGTTATGTTTGAAATGTAGCTTCCACAGCTGGAGTCTCAGTAAGTCCATTTACACAGTCATCAGGGTCATGTTCTCTGATGAACAGAGCATGGTGTCTCCGTTTCTCCCTTAGACTAACACTGCATTTTAGATAATCATTTTAAACAATAAATAGTTGCCAAGTACTAGAAAGATCTTTTGGTCTCTTCATGCTTGTCATTAATTCTAATGTATGTAATGCACATACAGATGACGGTATACAGTGTACAATGAAAAGGGAATGACTTTGACAGAATCCACTTGTATGACATGTGACAAGACCTAAGACTGGATGACACGTGACGACTTGAGATGACTCAACATGAAGGTCATCTCTTTCTTAGATGTTGTTGTGACTTTGAACAACAGTTATATTTTGTAGAGAGGGCTTCAATCATAAGATATAATTGAAAGAGTTGCTTTAATGTGCCTGTGTTTTGTTTCAGTTTAATGGCACCACCACCTTTGGCCGTGATTGGTCCCTCTTCTGGAACAGGAGACCTTGATAAGCATCTTATGCCCCCACCTTCACTCCCACCCGGTTGGTATGATCCTAAATTATTAATCCAGGAAATGTGATAGCATGGCAATGCTCCTAGGTGATCTTGGTAATTGTAGACTCATTGGAGGAATCCCTCATGCAGTGACTTGTACTATGCCTTATGTGTGTGTCTCATCACAAGCAAGGCTAACAAAGTTTCCAGGCATAAATAGGATTACTCCTGTATTAGTTCTGTTCAAATTACCTGCTTTTCAACTGTCCAGAAAAAAGGTCAGTGGGATATGCCTCTTTTCCTTGAACATGTTTAGAATGCAATACAGTCAAATAAGGGGGGGGGCTTTCTTAGAACAGATCTACCGATAGATGTTCAGTTCTGTGACATTGTAGTAATAGAATGCATTGCTAAGAAAAAGAAATCTTATGTACTAAGTTAATTTTGTGTGCCTCTTGTAGGAGAGACACTGAAGTTGCTTCAACACGGTAAGTGTATCCATGCATGCAGGGTGTTGTACATGATATGGTACAAACATTTAGCCCTAATATTAAAGCATTTTACTCTTTTCATTGTATGATTTCTAGGTTTATTCCCAGAAATTGATCGGAACCAAGCCCTGACTGGCTAGAAACATCATGTTTATAGCTACCATATTTACAACAATATATTAAAAGCGAACCAGATATGTAAAGCAGCTCCTCCACACTGGAATTCAGTTTTGGATCTGTCTGGCCATAATTTATAAAATAATAGTGTATTTTTATTTGTCTCCTTTTCTTTTATATCTGGTGGTTACTGGACCTCGATGTCGTCAATGGTTGTTCACTAATTTGCTGTGATCTGATGCCCATCCATCATCCTTCCAATATGGTATGGGGAAATAAACACCCAATTTTGGTTTGTCTTCATATTGATACTCTTCTTTCATTTCAATGTGGTGTTCATCAAATGTTCTTCACTCCATGTACCCCACTTTTTTAATGATGCACAACTTCATCAAATGCTCTTTGCTCTGTGTACCCCACTTTTTAACAACGTAAAAATTCTGGTCTTGCTAAAATTTGTTCATGACCTGTGTTCCTGTAATTTATCAAAATTATGTTGCTATGGCATAATGTCCGGCACTCCTGTGTAATGACTGAATGGACAAAATGTTGGTGTCTAAATGGATAAATTACATTTGAATTCAAACAAACATGACACTGCATGAACACAACCTCAGTTAAGGGTGGTAGAGTGGCACTTTTTGAAGAACCTCCACAGAAGCGCAGCAAGGGTCTTGTATCCTATGATGGTGGCGATTCTGATGATGATGAAGACATTATTCGATCTCCACAAGCTCACAGCTATTTCCAGCCCAATAGCACATAGCCACAGATACCTGGAGGTCTTCTCAGCACTGTGACAGGTTCTTCAACAAACGGTGTTAAAAGCTGAATTTAACTACTGAGGAAAGAGGGACTTCCATTGCTGAACCCCTTGAAATTTCCTGTTGTAGGCAAGCAGTACATTGAAATGTCACCAAGCAGTGTTTATATGTGTGTTGTTCAAGGAACCACAATGTATTATGGACTGCATGCAGTGACAGCTTTCAAAAGAGAGACACATGGCGTATGTGTATCAATTTATGCATGTGTACAAACTTAAGCACTGTCACATGCAAGGAGTGCACCTGAATGTTATACAGCGAAGCAGCATTCAAACTTCCTGCAGCAACAATAGGCTTTGCCCTTTTTGTACTAGTGCTGGCATAATTAAGTTCCAGTGATGTCGATATCTTCAGCAGCTTTTACAGATGCCCCGTAAATGACCTAATTTGAAATTTCCATAAAAAGCAAGGACTAAATTTGTGGATATTAATGTTTCCATTTGTAGGATGGCTTGTAGGTTTTCCCGGCCAAATCAGCAAAAGACCTTTCATTTTCATCAACATTTAAATCCATAGATTTTAGTTCTATTCATAATGGGTTTGTTTTTCCTTATTGTCAAATTTTTGTAAACACAAGATTTTGGTTTTGCAATGAAGATTTAGTCATTCTATTTTATTTACAGGCATTCAAGTGTACATTTTTGCTATGTATTGTCTTTTCTCAGTTAGTGCAATGAAATTAAAAGGTCATCGAAGTATGCGAGATTTTACCTCTGCATGCTTTTCCTTTTCATGTACGGTCAATCGATTTTGCACTTTGCGTGTGCAGTGTAGACGTGATGTGAATTACTGGAGTAGTTACTGCTGTCTTCCATCATAAGTTGTTTCTGCATGATATTCTTGTCTCGTAAGAATTGTCGCAGTGTTAATAATTCATTTGTATCCTCATTCATTTGTGTCGACACCCGTCTTTTGAGTGACACGAAATCAGTTCAGGAAATGTTTGTTTTTGCTCCTTACTGTGTGGATGGTTCCTGTTCTGTTTATTTTATATACATATATTTTGGTCTGTAATTACTCGGACTAGTGCAAATTAAAATAGAGGAGAGTTTGTGAAACAAAATTGGTGTCACTTTTTTCTTGTAAAATTGGCTTTTACGCCTGAATAGGCAAATGCAAGTCAGTGCATACCACAGGAACAAATTTGAATTCTCATATGAGAAATGTTCCCGTTGATGAAATTGAATTGTTCTTCAACATCTGAGGCCGTTGATGGATTTTATGATGGTCTTTCTTTAAAGCATGCTCAGATAACAAAATCGAATGAACTCCGCTGATTTTTTAATGCTCATGTGAAAGAACATTTACAAACAAGAAACAAACTTAAATGGGTTTCGTGTTAAATTGAACAATATTTTGCTGATATTTTGCTAGGAAAACCTATAATATGAATTTTTTAATAAAGACTGTTGCAGTCAGGATTTGAATTCCAGAATTTGTAGGTCATGCCAGCCGGTGGGGAGTATTACATTAAAAATATCTAACAAAAGAAGCACAGCGCACAAACAATGAGGGTCCATTGTAATTGCAGTGAAACAATGACTAATGCCAAGGGGGGGTCTCTCCGTCTCATATCTTACTTAATATGTAAACTACCGTTGGGGTATGGGCAATACCCTATGGTCTCACTGACAACATGCTCTTCACAACAAAGACATGCATCCAAACCTACATGTATTCACTTGTGTAACTTAATATTTTTAAATGTGAGAACAATTAGCCTTGTGTAGCCATGTACAACAGAGGTTTGTATACATTGATATGAAATTACTTGGTATGTACATGTACTCACTTCAGGCAAATCCTCATATAACAAAGCAAGGGTGAACATTTAACAACTTCAGTTGTGGTCCTATTGTTGCATAATTATGTGAAACGTTTTGGAAGGACCCGCTGGGTTTTGTACAGGATTTAGAAAATACACGACCCTCAGTCTGTTGTGATTAACCTCTATTGTCGATTGTCAGTGGCTGAACGTGTATACATGTACAAGCTCCTGTTCACATAAAAGATATCTTTTCTCTCTGTGTCATGAGAAGACTACACGACATGGTCAATTCTTCTGTAACTGAAACAATCTGCACTTACCTCCATTGAATCTGAACTTTCCAAAATAGGTGGTTTTGTTTGTCTACAGCTTTGTGTCTCAGATTATGTAACATACTGTGCCAAGAGTTAGAAATCATAGGATTAGATTGAAGTCATTTATGGCATGTACAGCACACACTAATTTCAGTGGGAAGAAACCACAGTTTTAACACCATTAAAGCTTGTGATAACTTTTTTTTCCCTCAGTCCTCAATTTTAACTCTTTAAACACTGTTACCATAAACATTGTGTATAGTATTTTAATCATTTTTCATAACTGAAAACAGTTTTGTTTGCAAACTGATATTTGATCTACCCGAAGTCATGTAACTGGTAATTTGAAATTATGGAAACTGGAAAATAAAATTAAACGTGATGGAAACGTTTCACGCTTTTTTAAAATTCAAATTTGGTTCAATCAGTGACGTTATTTGTGTAATGGTTGTAATTGTAAATCATGTTTAGTAGGAGAGATAGCGGTACCAGTTACCCTAGGTACCCTGCAGAATTTGTTAATTTTTTTAGAAACAAGAAACTTGTATAAAAAATAGACCCTGGGTACCTACCCAGCAAAATTTCTCAAAAATCCGTAAACATCAAAACCGGTTTTATCCCCTTCATGTACATGTACCTCAGAACAAAGGGACCCCCCCTTCTACTAGGTCTCAAGGAAACTCGAAACGACACCGTTTACTGCACATAACTTTTAGACGGACTCCAGGTAAGGAGGAGGGCTTGCTCTGCTGTAAAGTTCACTATATTCTGGTGGTTCCAAATATTTTATGCAGCATTTTTTATTGTAACTTAATGCGAATCCCTTAGAGCACTTTAATAGCAATAGAGAATGGAGAGTTCTGCTCCGCTCCGGCTGCGGAGCCTCCGGTCACGCACCGGCTCTAGCTCTAAAGTAGAACTCTCCATTTTCCACGACTACACCTAATTTTGGTAACTAACAATAAAATATCACCTTCTCCCTGGTATATTTTGGGGAAATTATCCAACCCAAATTTTGAGGGAAAATGATATTACATGAATGATAATAATATAAATGAACATGGACCTAAGAAAGTGCAATCATTGTCTTAATAAAAAAAACATTGTCAGAGTTTAAATTAAAACTTAACCAAACAATTAGTAAATGCTGCTTGAGATGTTTAAAAAATAACAAAGGAATACTTGTAAACATGGACATCATGAAAGCATTGTTTTAATTGTAGACCACTGCATACAAAAAATAGCTTGTAATGTCCAAGGATATATACCTGAAGACTTTTCTTGTGAACATAAATATAAATCAACGTGCAAGGTATGTACACCTAGAAAATATCTATATGAGAATGATTAATTATTTTTGCAAACAAATTGAAGTTTTATTTCAATAATATTATATAAAAAGGTTTAAAAAGCATAAATGGATGCCAGACCTGTGTTATCTGGGTTTAACTACATTAAAAACTTCATATGATTACATTCAACTTATAATGTACCTCTGCCCCCATCTCAAAGACGAATACACACCAAACAAGAATACCTACGTGCCATTAAATTGACCAAACATAAGTTTAAGAATCTTCAACGTAAATCGTACCATCAACTCTTACAAATAGTAAGATAATCAATTAGAAATAATACCCACGGGTCAATAAGGTCATGTTTTACGAAAAGATCTAATAAAAGCGATTAAAAATTACACTCAACCAGATACATTTGCAGATGCAGACTTTAAAGAAATTACAAGATTCCAAGGAAGTTATAGAAATTGGGAATTAATTCCACGTTTTATGAAAGACGATATTATTAAAGATAATATTATTTTTTGATTTTTACAAAAGATTAATTGAGTCAAAAGCGGTGGATCAATTGCAGGAGATTAACTTATACGATTACGACAGAAACAAAGGATCATTTCCTATTCTGTACCATTAAAAAATATTTCAAACATTGATACCCATGTCAATCTATTACTAATTGCTAATGGATATACAGAACATTACTGCTGGAATAAAAAAACTTGAGTAGACTCACTTCGAAATTCATTAGCGATCACAATGGTAAAGCATACCCCTGCTTCAAATGTGATTCTAATTTTAGAACCGCTGAAAAGTTAGCTTGACACAAAGACGATTGCCTCAGATTAGATACTCCTATTTCTAAAGTAGTATTACCCGATATAAACAACGTATTAAAATTTGATTTATTACAAATGTATAAAACCCGCACCGTTTGTTATATATGCAGATTTTGAATCTATTTTAGAACCACTTAAACTGCAAGAATTAAACACTACCAAAACACATCATCACAAGCCATCGGGTTATTCTTTTGCAGTAGTACGACATGATGGTGTTTGTACAAATTACAAATCATATAGGCCTAGAGGAACGGATGCTACCACTTCATTTATAATAGATCTCATGGAAGAAGGAAATAAATTAACGAAGTATTTTCTGACCCAAAACCTTTTCAACGGACTTCCAAGTTACATAAACAATACGACACGTGTAATACTTGTTGGATTTGTAAAAAAAAAAGTATATGTAAAACAGAAGATGATCAATTTCATTGCTCTATTCCTGAAAAACCAGAAACTCCGTTTGATAAAGAAAAATTTATAAAAGTAAACAACAAAGGCATTATATAATATCTCTGTATGAAATGCAAAAAGTCAATTAACGAAAAATTTATAAAAGTAAACAACAAAGGCATTATATAATATCTCTGTATGAAATGCAAAAAGTCAATTAACGAATTTTGAAAAGTTCGTGATCATTGTCACATTACTGGAGGCCCAGCGCGCGGTCTATGTAATTTACAACTAAAAAAATTCCAGAAAAGACGTCATTTCCTGTATTTTTACATAATTTAGAAATTATGACGCCCATTTAATTATGCAGGGGTTATACCTGTCAGTAGGCAAACTGTTTTCTATTCCAAAAATTCTGAAAAATGTGTTTCTTTTTCAGTAGGCCAACTCAAGTGTTTAGATTTGTTCAATTTCATGGAATATTCCTTAGAGTCATTTGTGAAAGCTTGCCCTCAAAACGCTTTTAAATTAATACAAAAAAAGATTCCCAGAAAACACAGATCTGCTTTTTGAAAAAGGTGTTTATCCATACGAATACATGGACTCATTTAAGAAATTTGATGAGACACAATTACCACCAAGAGAAGCATTTTGTACCTCACTCAGACAAAAACGTGTATCTGAAAAAGATTATGAGAGAGCACAAAGCGTTTGGAAAGCTTTTGGATGTACACTAGGTGCGTATCACGATTTGTATGTTGAACAGATGTTTTATTACTTGCTTGTGTATTTGAAAACGTAAGCTTCGTATGCAGAAAAAATTATGACCTTGAGGGTGCACCACTACAAATAAATTCCCATAGGCAGCAATGATAAATCCCCACACTTTGCAATAATTTTAAAAATGCTCACAACTCTCACAGGTGTCCAGGCTGCACAGAAATACGATGATCGACATGTCCCCTTTCATTTTCCTTTCAATTTTCGGGGGGTTGACCAATGAATTTTTGAGAAATTTTCACCAGAAGCAGACCACCCCTAAAATGGAGAAAATGTCCCTGCCCAGAAATGTAGCCATTTTGAAAAACCATCCCTCTGCAAAACGGCCAAATAGTGCCATTTTCGGACCCGACTGCATCCAAATTGCTCAGAATTTGAAGCCCAGACTCCGGGCCAGGGGTTCAGCGCCATATTTCTCCAATTCCTCAATTTCATGGCTCTCAGGACCTTCTAATATAGAATATTTTAAATAAGTTATATGCTCAGGTGTACCCTGTACTTTATTTACACGATGTAATTTTATAGCTTCTGCTGGAACAAGATCTTGACCTTGCTTATTTTAATCAATCTGTTTTTTTCTCCGTTTAGAGATTTTAAAACCTCAGGCAACCTTGTTACCCATTCCACATTTCGTTCACCTGGATCTAACATTTCTTGCGCGCACTGGTATCCAAACAAACGCTCAGCTAAAGTTCTGTTGAATCTTTCTACAATCTCTAGTGATCGATGTACACCGGGTTCACCCACTTGCACCTATGCTTTATTTTTAAATAAAGTTTTTTTTAAGTCACCTTTAAATTCTGATCCAGAGTCAACATTAAGCGTTTTAGGCCAAGTCAATGGCGATGTATAGTAAATCTGTTTTGTGGCTTCTATGACTTGTTCAGCCGTTTTACTTGTCAAAGGTTCGGCTTTTTTGTATCTGGAAGCCACATCGACCAGGCCTACTGTCAAAGCATATTTGTAAGTTTTACCCCTTGGGCCTTTTGGAACCCTATCCCAGGGTAGGTATAACACATCCATTTGATGTGTATCATTGGGAACGGCATATTCTGATTGTGAAGTACTTGGTCTGGGTATAGGCCTATACCGAGGAGGAGGCAGATAAATTTGCCAAATTGCTTGTTTTTTAACCAAGATGTCACTTTGGTTTTGTCAATGCCAGATTTTTTAGTAAGGTTTTCAATAGCTGCATGTCCCTTAAAAGAACAAGACCAAGAAGAACAAGATATATCGTGGGATGATACCCAAGAAACCACGTTTACAGACACGGGAATCCTAAAAAAAAAACCTTAGTAATAGGAGAAAAATATATTTGTACTTTCACCAGAAGTAAAAGATTTCTATAATTTATTTTTTGCGATCGAACAGACTTAGCAGTTTTACCCAATTATGAAAATTTTATATTTTACCCAAATAAAGGTCTTTTTTTACAAAGCTTTTGGTAATTACAAAGAAGTATTGCCAACCAAAAAAGGAAATCCAAAATTAAAATTATAAACAAAAGCAAAGTTTGCTAAAAGTGAGGGATATCCAAACGGACCAGATTTTATTCGAACTGAATCAGGTTTTCGCAATTATGGAAGAAAACTTCAACAGATGAAAGAGACTTTAGATACCAATGAAAATAAAACAACCGATCTAGCTGAAATTCAAGGAACTGATCAATCTGAAATTCAAGTAACCGATCAAGCTGAAATTCAAGGAACCGATCAATCTGAAATTCAAGTAACCGATCAAGATGAAATTCAAGAAACCGATCAAGCTGACATTCAAGTAACCGATCAAGCTGAAATTCAAGTAGCCGATCAAGCACTAAATAAGATCATTAAATCTACAGAAAGTCTCATTCGAGACCCAGATACACAAAGTTAAATAGAAGAATACTCAATGAGAGAAATTCGTGGTTTTGGTCAAGACATGCAAAGAATTAGGGGAAGTTTAAGAAAAAATGTTGTACAGATCTCAGAAACGAGATCAGAACTCAATGAAGAAAAAGACAGGTTAACAAATCTTGAACGACAAGATGAATTATTACTCCGACCTGAATCTGAAGGAAAAAAACGGGTCAAAGGTCGTATACATGAATTAAATGATCGCTTAGAATTATTAAATAGTGCTAAAAAGATCTTTTGGGTAATTTAAACGAATTAAAAGTTTGATTGATCACATGTTATATGGAGATGTATCTTTATGTGAAATAATACAAACCATTATTAGAGAGCAAGGTGTAACAATTGTGAGTATTTTATTTTAACAGCTTTTACCTTGGCCATTAGCACCATTGTGAGCAGTATAGCAGCTTCTGTGAGAGCAGTAGGTACACCAACACCACCAGATGAACCTGGATTTAAAAACTGGCTTTAAAAAAACAGTCATTTAGCCAACGCGTTGAAAAAACTTGGAGCCACTGCACTTGGAGCTTTACCAGGTGTAATATGAAGTATTCTGAGTTGGTTGTTAACGTTGCGAGTCAACGCAACGATGCTGAACATTTATGGACTTTGCTTTTAATTTGTGGGAGCACTGGTGTTGGGTAATTTTAGTGGTAAATGAATTTATGGGTGTTGCGTTATGAATTTAATTACCTACCAGCACTTTTATACCATAAATGATAAATATAACTTGTCACAGCCAGCATAAATTACTCACAGCTAGCAACTTGTTATATAACAATATAAATAGAACTTGGTATTTTCCATAAATTATGTATAGAACTTGGTGTATGCCGATATACTCACAGCTAGAATAAACTTTACTTTTGTCCTTAAAAGCAGCTATAATACATTGACTTCAATTTGAAGCCAAGGTATGAATTTAAATTTAAATTAAACTTAATTAATTAAATTAAATTATCTAATAAACAAAATTAAAGCCAGTGAAATGGGAAGCATACCTAGTGTTAGTCTTTTTTTTCATATTGATGGGTATCTTTGGTTATATGCTGTATTTGTTGTTTTTTCTTGGATACCCATGGTAATGCCTTCACACTAATTCTACACACTAATTGTGCGCTTGACGTATTTACTTCGGTACTCTATGGCAGAGCTTCAGGAGGGTAATATAATGCTGTATGCTGTGCATTTCTGGTCAACATAACATTTTTCTCATGAGATGATGGCTAAGCCCTCGGCCTCCTTCCCGAAAGCAAGCCAAAAATAAACAGAAAATGAAAGAATATCATTTCCGGAAATAAATGACCATTTTCTTATATTAACGAACCCACTCAAAAGGGACAATGTTAACCTGTTTTTTTATTGTGTGTGTGTTTGTGTTTTTATTCATTTTTTACACCTATTGTATACGATCTAGTTGTAGCAATATTTTCTCTTTGGGTCTGTTCAGTTGTGATTTGTTCAGTGTGTAAAAATTTGAGAATTCCACCAGGGCATGCAATAGGTCTTGTAAATAGGCCTATGATGTCCAAACTGTCCATGCGTTTTTCCGTCTGGTTTCGATGAGCCAACACGGAAAAAACATCAATAAAATGGTTTTAATTTTACACACTCTCAGGAAAATTGTACTAACTAAAATTCATTCATATTTTGAGTAAATGTTATTGAAATTCGACATGCAGCATACGGAATTGTGGGAATCATTTCTGTGCGAACAAAGTGAACGCAGCTTTAAATGAGCGACAAAACTAACTTACTGCCGTTTTTAAAACAGACACTTATTAATCAGCTTAAAAAGTTGAGTTCACAACCTGACTTACATTTAACAAATAGGCCTACCTTCCGGCACAAAAAAATCAATTTTGTCTGAGAACATTTAGTTTTATTTGTATGTGTTGCTATACATGGAGTTGTTCGAATACCTGCATTCTAATTAGATGGTAGGAATTCTCGCTACGCCTATGTGGCTCCTCTTTGTGGATCGTTGAGGCGGACCATGTATATAAAGCGTGTGTACCACTCGTATTCTCATTCAGGTCTTGCACCCACCGAGTGTCACTATTCTAGTACCCTTTTTCTTCTTTTGGTTTCCCTCCCTCCCACCCTCAAGATCGATAGGTTCGTATATTTTCTGTTTCGGTTGTTGCTGCTTATTGAATTTTTCTTCGACAGGCATGCCGGCTCCAAACCAATGCTACTCCTGCGGTTCTGTCGGTCACTGGGCAAAATCCTGTCCGTTCATCCAAAGCCACAACTCATTTGCCTGATACCGTGCTCCTACCAGAGCCAGCTCAGTCTTTGCATTCGGGGGTCCCAGGTGCCCATCTGCAGTATGGACCATCCCAGCGTCCCAACGAGCCCTCCTTGCCTCGCCCAGTTTGCGATCCAGCACCCCCGCCACTGATGACTGCGATAAGGCCGGCCCCTCCGGAATCTCCGACGCCTAACAGCTTTTGTAGGACATCAATTTTCACAAAGTTTGACGATGTTATTCAGGTAAATTGTTCCGGACGGTCTTGGGACATAAACCTTTGGTTTCAGATGATATTCCGGTAAAAGAGAGGCTAAAGACGCAAGCAGAATTTTGGCGAGGGATAAATGCGCGTGATACGATTTTTCTATTGTCGAATATGGATACAGAATTCCTTTTGGTACTGTTCCTTCTCCAATGTTCTTTAGAAATAATCAGTCGGCTTTACGAAAGGCTATATTCGTAATTGAAAGTGTATTGGATCTGCTACAAATCGTATTGTAGAAAATTGTTTCCTTCTTTTATAGTCAGCCCACATTCTGTTTCCCACAATTCCTCAAAGAAACAGTTAATTCTTGATCCAAGTGTCCTAAATAAATTCATTAGCAAAGTACACTTCAAAATAGATGATTTGAAATGCACCCTTCAGTACCTGTGTCCCAAAGCTCTAATGATATCCTTTGATCTCAAGTCTGGGTACCATCAAGTTGAGATTTCCGAGTCTTCACAGTGTTATTAAGGCTTTGCTTGGACCATTAACGGAGTTGAAAGGTATTTTGAGATTACCGTATTGCCGTTAGGATTGAGTACTGCTCCCTATATTTTTACCAAGCTGCTCAAGCCGTTGGTAAAACACTGGGGGGCATGCGGCATTTTAATTGCTCGATATTTAGATGGTGGTTTTGTTTCTATTCCTGCCCCAGCAGACTCTAATACACGCAACTCCAATGCTCTTCAAATATCTCGTCACATCCCGCAGGATTTATTGAAATCAGGCTTTGTGTACAACATTAACAAATGTAACTGGGATCCGTCCACTTCCTTGGTCTGGTTAGGCATGAAGCGGGACACCGAAGGGAACCCTTGAAATTCTGGATAAAAGAATTAAAAAGATATTAAACTCAATTTACTACAACAACCCTACACAATAAGACAACTTCATTCGTTCATTGGTCAGATAATTTCTTTGTCCCCTGTCTTGGGCAATATCATCCGACTTATGACTCGTAATTGTCAGTGCAGCGTTGCTGCAGGTTCAGATGAAAGTGACTCGTTGTCGCTGAAAAATTAACATGGCGTGTCATTTAGAGTTAAAATTCTGGAAAGACCATGTCCGCCGCCTTAATGTTCGACACGTCTTCTCCTATAAAGTTCACAAAAAAAAGTGTACTCTGATGCAAGCTCTACTGGTGCAGGGTCGATTATATGTAATGATATCCATTCTGCTCACAGGCTGTGGTCCATTGAAGAATCACTTCAAAGTTCAACATGGAGAGAACTCGAAGCTATTCGTTTTGCGCTGTCATCCTTTCTTCCATTAATATCATCCTCAGACCTTAAGATACTCACTGAGAGTCAGAGTGCTGCAAAGATTATCGAGTGCGGTAGTATGAAATCCCATTTGCAGGCTATACCTTTTGATATTTTCAAGATATGCCTTCAGAACTCTATTAGAATTGATGTGGATTGGATTCCTAGAAAAGAAAACGAACAAGCAGATTTTCTAAGCAGATTCATTGATCTCGATGATTGGACCTTGACTGAGGAATTTTTTTTGCCACTATCAATAACCTTTGGGGGCCCCTTTACGGTGGACTGCTTCGCAAACTATTACAATGCCAAGGTATCACGATTTTACTCCCGTTTCTGGAACCCAGGCTCATCCGGGGTGAATGCTTTCGCTCAGAACTGGTCAGGAGAGAATGCTCTCATAGTTCCACCTGTGGTTCTCATTCCGGCCGCGCTAAAACATATGCATCTTTGCCAATGCACCGGGGTTCTTGTCTTTCCCTAGTGGCCTTCCCATCCCTTCTGGCCTTTGTTGTGGTCCCATTTTAAACACTTCATGAAGCGGTTGATCTATGATTTCGGTTACATCGCCTTACGGCGTGGTAGAAATATGAACTCCATTCTCTGCTCCCAGTATTTTAATGGGTATATTGCTGCAGCGTACTTTGATTCCCCTCCCCAACCTGTGCAAAATTTAACTTGACTGTATTTGTTTCTCTTTCTCACAGATAGTTCGTAAGCACCCATTTTGGCTCACCTGTCCTATCCAGTTACAAGATAAACCAGACCAGATCCTGCAAGATATAATTCTCGCAAAATCGGAGGGCACGGTAAATTCATATGTATATAAATGTCAGCAATTCTTTTCCTGGTTAAAAGTGAATGGAGTCCCTCAAATGTTGCCCGTCTCGGAACCAATCTTGGCAACATACCTCTCACATGTCAAAGACCAGTCCAATTCTGAAAGTGTTTTGGCTACAACTGTTGCTTCACTTAAATGGTTACATATATTAATTAATGTCAAGATTAATCCCCTCGATTCTGCCATTATCCAGCATATTCTTATCAGCGGTAGACGGCAATTACATCAACCCCCAGTACAAAAGCATAGGTCCTTGTCGCAATTTAGAATTATTATCGATTTGTTAACTGGCCCCGATTCCTCACTCCTAGACCTGCGAATGGCGTGTTATGTTTCGATTAAGTATGCTTTGTTTCTTCGTCATGAGGAAATGGCGGCTATCAAAGCTAATCATTTTTCTGTTCTTCAGGTGCATAAAGGTATTTCTGCATTTATTCCTAAATCTAAAACGATGTTTTCAGAGATGGTCAAACCACTTACCTGTACGATACAGAAGATCCTTATTCACCACTTAAAATCCTGCGAAAATTTATGGAAGCCTTTGATATTCAAATCGGGCAAGATGCCTTCTTGTTTACTTCTCTCTCCTTCTCCAGCACGAAAACTTACAAGTGAGGAGCTAACAAGCCACTCAGTTACTCACGATGCAGAGAATTATTTCTCCAAACGCTTAAACGTATAGGGGTAGCTGATCCACATTCTTATGGGTTACACAGTCTACGGTCTGGGGGTGCAATTCATTTGGCAAACAAACACGTTATGGAGGCGTCGATAATGCAGAAGGGTCGTTGGAAGACATATCAAGCCCCCAAAAAACCAGATGTTAAACTAAACGTTTCAGAACTCTTGAAGGTCTCAAAGGCAACTAAATTGTATCCATTTAGTGAAATTTCGAAATATATGCCATTAACCATAGGTCGAATAACTTGTATTAGTAAGTAAAATGTGAATACTTCATAGATTCAACGTTGTATTAATTAAAAGTTCATGAACTGAATAGTGTACGTAAACAAAAAATAGGCCTAATCGGAACTGATTCAAATCAGCCATTGCTTAAATGGCATGTAGGAAGGCCATTATGGGAGGTCAGATGATCTGCTGAATGCAAAATCTATTTGGGTTTTGCCAAAGTTAATGTGTTCAATAGTTGATTGGCCTAAGTACAGGCGGGCCGTTATCTAAGGTCAGATGACCCTAAGAGTGGTAATTAAAAAAAGTCAAATGACTTAAAGAGATAGATCAGATGATCATTGTGCAGTTTTGCTTTGCTTTTTGGTAATTTTGTTCGTCTTGTTGGCTCAATTTGTAAGAGTTGTAAAAGTATACAAGTTTAACACTCGGTGCTCGTGTTCAGACCTCACGCCCATGGTTTCCGATAGAGACATTACAGTATCACTTGCCTCCATGACTTTTCTTTTTTGGCAGTCCAATCACATAAAGCTATTTTTTATGCGGATGAGCACAGCGAAGTAGCATGAAAGAATAATTTTGTCATGTAGACTAAGTTTCTTTCATTGCGTTGACTTTGAATTCCCTTGTTTGTAACTTTATTTAACAGAAACGTCAGCACTCTGCTTCTCACTTTGGATTCATCTCTGCCCCGAAGAAGGATTCTGTCACTCATATCGCATAGTCTGTCACACGATTTGGGTTCAGTGCGTCTTTAGATCCGAAAAACACAAATCATGGTTGTCTTTGAGATTTTGCCGGTGAAACTTGGGGAAAATAAACGACAAATTAGTCATTCAGTTTTTGAAACTACTTTTGCCAATAAGTAGCATTTCAGTGGTCCCAACTTCTAGATAGTGAAGTTTCATTTACAAAGCCTGTTAGGCTAGATGGATTGTCATAAATTTCTTACTAGGCCTATATAGGCTTGAAGTTAAGCATTATACTGTACAACTTGAGAATCTATCTGAAACTTTAAAAAGGCGCAACTCACATTTCCTTCCGTTCCTTCTTCCAAACTTGACTTCGATCTCTGGTAATTCACTGCTGCGTGCACCTCAACCATTATTCTTTCCAAATTTATCCATTCCAAGTGCAGAATTCAGTTTCTCTTCGAAATCTGAGGATTGAAGCACAGTGACCCCAACTGGTTTTTGAAAACTCCATTTGAAAGTATACACGCAACGAAATTCCTGACGCTGGTTATTTATATTGACAAGAATATAATATAAAATCTGTGCTCTGGAAAATGTGATTGCCGAGCTTTTGGTAACTGAATACCTTCTTCAGGGCAAGCAGATTCATAATTTATAAAGAAGATCAATTACCGGACCATTTATTCTTAAAGTAGTCAGAATCATCGGGTCTGGTATCCAGACTAGAGGTGTTCATATTTAAAAAAAAAAAAACAAAAAACAAAACCAGCATGCATACGTTATGACTATGTGGTTTTTGATAAACGATGGCAGAAAAGTAGCAAATACATGTATCTGGGTCAATCTGCTTTTCACGTGCGCACTTTAATACCTTCCTCGTTTAAATACCGGAAGTTTGGGTTGCGCTTTCTTGAAAATCACACCCCCCGGTTTAAACCAGACTACACCCCTACGGCCCCATGTAAAATCATATGCAGCAAGGTATGAGACGGAGAGAACCCCCCCCTGCTTTGTGTAGGTCATTGTCTCGCAGGAATCTGGGGAATTCCTTTCAGACATCTTGGAGGATGCGTTAAGTGACAAGTCTGGAATGTGTATAGGGATTGGACATGTTGGGGGGGGGTACCCCTCAGTCTCATTTCTTGCTGGGTATATGTAAAATCCCCGTAGGCGGACCGCGCGAGGGTTCCGGAAGCTCGCTGTGTGACCTTTTTACTTCAGGCTCTGTTATATTAATGGACTGACAAACCGACCGTTGAGGCAAATTACCAATTTACTCAAAGTTGACTCGTATTTATTGCGTTTGCGCTTTACAGACGCAGCTCCTGCAGATAGCCTCCTACTACCCTCGCGCCTCCTACTTTATTTTATTTGGACCCTCCCGTAAGGTATCCTCCAGGGTATAAGTATTCTTCCCCAGGGTACTCCACACCCTAAGAACTGGAACTAATTCCTAGTTCCCTCCCAGTAGCCCACCATGGTCCCACTCAGGTATGTATAGATGCCCACGCTCGAATCCACGCAGCGTAACCTCCTATTACCTAGCACAACCTGGCACCAGCTCGTCCGTCCCGGACGAGAACCAAACTCGCGACTACCTGGCCGCGCGCGCGCTGTCTCTTTTTATTCGCAAATAGCGTCCTCAGTAGTTGAACATGGGCACGTCCCGCGCTCGCACTGTCTGATAATGTACATGTACAACAAAAATAATAATTTGCGTCACAATACAATGGCGTAACATGGCCGCATACTCGCTTCGACAATTCATTTACCTTTTGAGACCAATTAACTTTACCCACTGGATCCAATTCACTTACCAATTCAAAAACCAATTCCAAAACCAATTGCTTTTGCTTGGAATCAATTGGAATCTAATTAGATTCAATAAGGGCGATTCACGATAGTGCGCCTCCAAGAGTTTGCAACGTGTTGGCCAATCACAACGCGCGAAATTTGTCGACCCCTTCCAAATGCGCATTGGGTCGACAAGTTTCAAGCACTGTGATTGGCCAACGCGTTGAAAACCCTTGGAGGCGCGCTATTGTGAAACGCCCGTATTGGCTTGAATACTGAGTAACAATTCGGACCTCTTCTCAGGTGTATCATTTAAAACCAATCGACACCATAAAGTTGAATACCAATTCACAATCCAATTGTAACCAACCGAAGAACCTTTAGGAGATTTGAATAAATTAAGCCAAATTATCCCTATACGAACTTAAGTATATATGCCTTAGCACTGACCTCCGGGGAAAATTTCCATCTTGGCAGAATTGAAGTAAGAAAATAAATACACTGTATAAAGGTGAAAAAGTGTTGTCCTTCCGCTGGGATAGTTACCGTATAGGAGTATACACGGCTCCTATCCCGCTTCCAGACAACAGCCCCCCCCAAAAAAAAAAAACTGTGACAAAGTAAAGAAGACTACTTTGTCGAGCTAAACTTCTTGGTTTGAGGCCTTGCAGTCATCAGTCTTGACAACCGAACTCGTTGAGTAGGTGATGGCGACTGCCTTGCTCCGCACACACTCATAAAACCTCGCACATGCACAAACACAAAAGGGACACTGTCGTTGAATGGGCCAGTTTTCTTTGTTGAATACTGGCCTAATCCACGCAAGAACTATTTACAGGGGAAAAGCCAACCAACATCTGCTTGTGGCGTGGCTTTCTTAACCAAATCTTCAAGGGGATGCCATTGAACGGCTGCCTGTGGCAGTTGTAGTAGGACTTTCACTATAAACCAATTAAAAAACGATGTCAATACCAATTGAGTCCCATTTGAAAAAGCCATTTGATGGGGGAAACAAGCTGAAAGCAAACCTGTTGGAACCTTTAGTCTCGTTCAATTTGAAATTTCCAATTGATCGAGGAAAACAAACAGAGAAAAAGCATACCAATTGGAACCATTTGATTCCCATGAATTCCAATTGATTGGGGAAAATAAACAGCAAAGAAAAAAATGTCAATTGAAACTAATTGCGTCCCATTTGAAATCTCCAATTGATGGGGGAAAACAAATGGAAGAGAAAACATACCAATTGAAACCAACTGCGCACCAATTGATTGCCAGTTGGACCCAATTTTATTCCAATTAAATCCCATTCAAAAATCAATTGGTTTGAATCGGCCATTTTTAGTAAGAGCAGAGCTGCCAAGGCTATCTTGAGTATCAGTGACACCAAATACGCGCTCTTAGCCTGAAAACAGTGCATCATCCACAGAATGATAAATAACCTATCAGACCAAAATAGCGCCGCCTGCCAGTGGCCCTCGGGAAGAGGTTGGCCTCCCTTTTTCTTTTCTTTTTTTTTTTACTGGAAGTTCAAGATTATGATGGCCAGAAGATGACTTTTATGGGAGTTAGCCAAGAATTTTTTTCATTCGCCTTTCCCCGAAGATGCCCCACAAATAGTAGTAACTCTATAAACTCAACTCTGAATGTAACCGCCCGCCTCTATCCAAAAAGGCCCGCAATTTGGGGCTTTTTGTGAAAAAATACCCCAAACTGGAAACTATCAGTCCAAAATTCAGGATTTAAAGAAATATTTATGCTCCCTCATGGTTCGGCATGTCTTATTGTAAAAACATATCTGGGGTCACAAAATATCAATGAGCTCGCGCGCAGAAATACAACCATTTGGTGGAATGCACCCAGATGAAGTGCCATATTTTAGATCATGTGTCAAGTGTAAAATGGAACTTGGAGGTTGAGAACATTTCTTTAGAAATTGTAAACAATTGTTGGGCCAGCCCTGCACTGCAGTTGGGACTGTCGCAGCATTATTTGGGACACAGTTGGAGCTTAACATAACGCATGCCGTGTGCAAGTTGTGTGCTGGCCCCAAGCAACGATATTAAGATATTATTGTGCTATGCAAAATACTCAGCAAATGATTGGAAACCACGTTGGGAACAGTGCGCGCGTATACTGTTGTCAAGGTATTATCATAAAATATTCAGGAACGTATGCATGGTGGCATCAGAATCAAATTTAGCGTCGACACGACTCTGGTGATGAACCTCAGTTATTTGCCTGCCAAGTGCCATAGTTACAATCATGACAATCTACACAGGGTCATGGGAAAATTCTTGAAATTGACTGCTCCGTCAGTAGTATCATTTCAAGAGGACTTTATTGTGGATCTAGGCCTATTTCTACCTCCATCATCATGTTCATGTTTGGAGTGACTGAGTGTGTTGTGATTTGCAGGGCCTCAGTATTATTACTATGAGAGAATAGAGGCCTGGACGTTGTATCACGAAGTCCCTTGCGGTAAGCATGGTAAGTACTGTACATGTACTGTACATACATGTACATGTATGTACTGTGGATGAAGATCAACGCGGTCCCAGTCAACTTGGTCTCAGATCAACTCGGTCCCAGCATTGTCCCAGGTCAACCATGCATGGAGGAGTAGAAGGAGGCCTAGCCTTGTAAAGTTGTACATGTAGACTGCATGATGTTAAACCATTGAGGAAGGAATGGTTAAACTTTCGAACACAGGCAGACAGGGAATATATACTGAGTCTGCAATCACATCCATTGACATCAGCATATTGTAGGTGTAGGCCCTACCCACAAAGTTTAATTTCATGCAAGGTGTTGGATGACATACATAAATGTACATGTATGTAACTCGGACACGTCGGAATGAATAAAGAATGGAAATACCATAAAGTTTCATCTTATAGCCCTATTAAACTTTCAGTTGCAAATGCCCTGATACTTGGACACCTTTCCACTACTTCAAGAACCATGAGAACCCTCAGTCACCAGGCCGCCCCTTTGTTCTCAGACTAGCTTTCTGCTAACCACAGCGATTACTTTGAGATATAAAGCCCATTGTCATCGAACCAAAGCACCAAGAGATATTACCCAAATCAAATTGTTTGAGTCCTGCAAATAACCAAAATTCTGCAAACAGTAACTTCTGATGCACACCGGTCGCTTCTTTTTGTTTGATGTCAATAGACGTCTTTAAACATTTTAAAAAAGGTAATCCTCGCATTTCAGTTTTATTACATAAATGATTGTGATTAGCATGGCATTATGAATTTCTGCGCACCTGGCATCAAGCTCTTGGCAACATTAATTGCAGTGTGCATGCAATGACAGTTTGGTCCCAGCTCGAGATGTACCAAACAATATGTACTTTTTTTTTTCAAAAAGACTGAGTTGACATGAAACCAAGTTGACCTGTGAGCAAGTTGACTCGGACTGAGTTTGTTTCGGACCGAGTTAAGTCGAATTCACTAAAACTGTTGATGTTTTGACGATCAGCTTGTAAGTTGCTGCTATCTTGTTGAGCCTGCTTGTCTTATTTGGATTCTCCATTTTCTTCCACATACGTGTACATGTACATGTAAAAGTATGCATGTTCTCACAACAAATGTACCTTGGCCTACTGGTACATGTATCCATAGACTTACATGTACAGGAAAAAACCTGTCATGACAATGGTGTACTTCAAGAAGTCGCTACTACGGTACCATGGAGGTAGGAAAGTACAGTTGTGACTTGGAGTTCAAGTACACCAGTACGTGTACAGTCTACATGTACATGACTTTGTACAGGTCTAGGTGCCAGTGCTAACTGAGCACATCACCTTTGACAAGTTTAGAAATGAGTTGTTGCTAAACCACTTCATCGAAAAACTTGAGCTGGTTCTAAGCCTGGTACCTGAGCACCTTGATGTTCTTTACCTTCACTCTGTTTCTATGTACATACATAGATGTACATGTATGTACATGTGTACATGTAACAAGGAAACAAAGTGTACTTTTACGAATTCTAGATGTCAGTTGGCGATGGTGCCCTCTTTCATCGTGTTCATCATCAGAAAGACTGTTTGTGAAAAGAGGACAGATTTTTGGGGGAATTATGGGTATGGACAAAGAGATGTGAACAAAGACAAATTAATGAGCTGGCTTCTTGACCTGGATTGAAATTTATGACAAATCTTAATAAATGTTTGTATTCACAATGGCCTGGTCAGGTAACCAAAACTGAAACAAAATGGTGTGATCTGACCAAGCAGGTTATCATTTGCCAAACGCAGGTAGGAGAATTGTGTTTTTTGGTCAACATTTAACGAAACTAGACCTACATGTAGGGGAGATGGGGGTTAGTTGGAATGATTTTCACAAAAACATCTATATAACACAAACAGATTCCTTTCAAGAAACAAATGCTATACCAGTTTATTCGTATACAAGTGGGTTACTAATGTAGCATATTAAATTCTTAGAATCGTTGATGGTTGTTTAGCATCCATTTCGATCACGACTATGACATGTGTTCCAACTTACCTTACCTATGGGGTAAATTGGAACATGATATGGGGTCAGTTGGAACATGGTATGCGGTTACTCATAAAGTACAGTATAATTACTTAAAAGCTACATTTATTTCTTGCGTTCATGTAAAATATTTTTTCCAAATACTGGCCACACTCCCAGTGTTTTTGTATAATTAACTAATTGTAACTGGCAAGAAAGGGCACAAACAGCACAAACATAAAAACTGGAAGTTTTACCCAACCCCCTACAATAACAAGAAAAGCTCGCATAAAAATTGAGAAGGTACACATGTTCCTGGTTGTTCAGCACCTGAAAAACATATCTTCGAAGGGTGACATGAGGTATTTCAAACTCAGTTGCAAGAGTTCAGACTTGTCTTCGATTCACAATCTTTTCTTGCACAGCTCACTCCATAACACCTGGTGGGGTCTGGTCGTACGTTGTTTTGCAGATGTAGTTCTGCGGCATCTTGAATGCTGAAGAGAAACAAGAACAACAATCTATTAAAACGGTTGTGCAAACATGGCAAAAGGATGAGTAAAACGCAGGAATAGCCAACATTCTATGTTTTTCTCACTGGAATATTGTAGGCAGATTAAACTATGGCCTAGGTGAGAAATGAAGTGAGCAATAGGCCTGCAGTTATACAAACAATCTGTTTTTCTATGTTACAACAGATCTACATGTACGGTAGGTCTACATATTTATTTTTTGTGGCAATAGGTCCTGAAGCTAACTAAATGGTGCACAAATAGTTAACAAATATATTAGATTCTTCATCGAAAAGGCACCTCTTTCATACACGAAAAATACAGTCGTAGCACTTTTGTTCATTCGTATATTGTATAATAATTTATGATGTGTGGGTTTGTTGGAACATGTTCCAACTAGCCCCCATCGAAATGTTCCAACTAACCCCAGTGGCCCATGTGACATTTGTATGCTCACTACACAAAACAGAGGCTGCAGTAACACATCTATTTAACCTTACTTTGTAGCTTAGAAGTGGAGCCTAAAATACCTAGTCACTGTTATCTACTGTATACACATCATTAAGATATTACACATTTTTTGAATTGTGAAAAATTTACTCAACAGGTGAAAAACAAACTTACCTTTCCCACTTGTGCACTATTGGTACAGTGTTGCTGCAGGCAATATGGTGGATGGCTGTTGCTAAGAGAGACCTCTAGATGGTAGCCTTTCATAAAATCTGTTTAAGCTGTGATAGAAAAAGTCAATGTTTCAACTAACCCCGTGTTCCAACTAACCCCCATCTCCCCTACAGTGTATTAGAATTGAAAAATAGATGCTCAAGGTCTTAATGTCACTTATTTGAAAAAGTGAACTTTGTTTCCTTATTTTGTTATAACTGGAACAGGGTTCTACTGGTAAGGAACACCGTTACCTTGAGAAACCTTGACCTTGCGAAAAAATTTAGTGGCACGAAATGCAGGTACAGTACATGTATAATCCAAAATTTAAAAGCAGTGGTGTCTGGAAATTGGGCACAAATTCAGCTAATATGGCTGAGTTTTCCCTAATGTGGCATACATGTACCTTTAACAAATCTCTAAATTCCAATACATTAACATTAAAGAATTTCTTTAAAGTTGATGAATATGGGTAAATCTTGATTACACTCACAAACATGTACACCATATACTCTATTTACAGAACTGCAAGTCACTATTTGGTGTGACTTGTAGCCTACAATTTTATATTGGTTTGTAACAATATGGGTTTTGGACTGCAGCACAGTTACAACACACATGTACGTCATATTGGGGTCCATTTTAGACTTGACCCAAATTGGGATCGCTGTGACATCTTTGTTTATGCTGCGGATACATATCGAGGCCCGCGTTGTTACTTGCTTGCACCCTCTTGTGTCTACTTATTACCAAAGATCGTATAGCGCCGAAGGCGCAAGATGGATAACTCTGTCCAAAAGGTGTAATTACCACAGGCGCCATTTGAGCAAACGATACACCTGCGCGGTTCACGGGTGCACCAGGTGAATGTGCCTGCAGCTGCGCCTGTGCATTAATGTGCATTGTGCAGGGGTATCGCTTGCCCAAATGGCACCCATGCGATTACAATGTTTTACGTGTATTCTCGGTGAAGTTTGCCATCTTGCGCCGCTATGCGGGGCTATATGATCTTTGCTTATTACTATATGATTTCAGTAATTCCGACTTGATGAATCTGCCGTTTGTACATAGTGAGTGGGCTCATCTACCAAAAGTGGTAGCAGCCAGTCACATCAATTGCTGGACCTGTTTTCACATCATCCATACCTCTATTTTAATGAACAGATTGACAACTCTGAGTACTTCGATTGGTAGAAATTCCAAGTCGGACTACTTTATTGGTGGAAATTTCATATACATTATGCAAGATCATGTCATTTGTATGCAATGATGAATAGCTACATATCACCAATGGCTTATCTGTCAAGATGGACTTACTGACTGGTGGCGTATGGCACACGTTGAGGCTGGATATTACTGAAAAACTGTTAAATGAGGGCGCCTTGTAAAAAGTAAAAGTGAGCGGCCAGCATGTACTGTGTATACATTTATGAAGGGATGGCTGACTGGGGAAGAGCAATGTACATAGAAGTCCAACTTATTGAGGTTTAGGGTCCATTTCTATTCTGTGTTCTCAATCAAATCTCCCCCCCAAAAGCTGTCAAAACTGATGCATAGGCCTATCTCTTTAAATCTGATGTTGTATACATACATGTACACGGTTTTAAGACCAAGGGACTGACTATTTCTTGAAAAAAAAAAGCGTTTACTCACCACCCTCATTCTCCTGACAAAAACGACCCAAACACATTGTACTCTTCGCTTGCATCACAGTGTGCTTGCGTCGGGTTGATGATTGACGATTGTACCGGTGTCAGCTCGACCATTTTAGGAAGCAGGGGAATGGAATCTTGTTTTCATTGCAACTTTGCAAGACCATCCTGTGTGTGTGTCTTGCTGTACAGTATGTTGTGCTGTAAAGCTGATGAGAGGGGAAGGAATATTCCTGTGGATGTTCACTTTGAAATGCTTTGATAATACAATTTTTGTACATGACTTAGGCCCAGGCTACATGTACCGGGGTACATGCTGTGCTACTGCCATGCCAAACTCAAATAATTCAATATTTTTAAAGTTCGGCATGGCAATAGCATGGCATTGAGCACGATTCGGCTTGGTAAATTGAATTTGGCATGACAAGCCCTTTAATTTGACATGGTACAATACATGTAGTGGACCGAGCGACACTGCTCTTACCGGTAAGTTTGACATTTTGTGCAACTGCTGCGCTATTACCGTGCTATTGCCACACTCATTTTAATTTAAATTTTGCCTGGCAGCGACACAATATTTAGTCTTTGCCTTAGAACCTGTTTTGTTTGTACTGGTAAAGGATAGTTGTGCAGTGAAAATACTTGTAAGTTTCCATCCCCCCGCTTCTGAAGATCCGATATGGAATGGTAAGCCCAACCATGTTCCCATGGGTAGGAGTACGATCTTTCCACACCATATTGGTTTGTGGCATAGAGCTACCCGTACGTGTATAAAAACTAGAGTGCTGACTCATGCGCAAAGTGATGCCTGGTGGGCGCATCCATGTTTGTGCACAAAAGGCTTATGGAAACTTGAAAGTTTTATGGTTTTTTGTACAGCTGTTTGCATTTAAATGCGTCTGTATTCTAAAATGAAATGTCAACAAAGCTGATACGCAAAAAACCTAAACACACAATCAATAAATGAGTGTTTCATTTTGCTCTGCACACATAATGCAAACACGTGCGCATATGTGCTGCAGGTAATTTTGCCATGACTTTTTTATTGGGATTTTATGGGTACCCAATGCACGCTGCATTTAGAGTAGATAATTTGATATTCATTCTATCTGATTTTTAATGTTGTATGAGTACGCATGTGGACAGAAAATATAAGCGCCCTATGGCGTCAAATTTTCTCTTCACGGAGAATGAGAAGTTAGCAGTCTAGTAATGGAGATCAGTGGTTGGTTCCCGCAATGCTTTACATGATCTTACATGTACATGTACATGTAGTACACACGCACGCAGCCCATGGAGTCTACAGGTTGGTTGGGGACAGCCATCAACCAGATGCATGCTCACTGTGTGATGATACTCACGAAGTGTACGATGTGTTTGGGTTGTTTTCGTGGAGAATGAGAGCTAGAATTGCTTTTCAAGAAATAGTCACATGGTCTTGAAATTATAGGTCATCAGATTTAAAGAGACAAAATGTGAAAAAATGGCTCTTTCTCCTGAAGACGAACAGAGCACACTGTTCGAAACGTCGAGTGAACCGCGGTTCTTTTCAGAACCACACACACTCAAAGAGAGAATTTGTTTACATGGTGTCACCGCAAACTTCACATAGAAAAAATGTACATATGCATTAATTTTCATGGCTTTTGGGGGTTAGATTTGACTGAGAAAATTGAATTTTTTTGTATCACAGAAATGTACCTTGATTGGACTTAACTGAGGCTGAATTCAAAATACCAAAGTGTTACCAACCCAAATTGTAGGGTTGCAAGTCACGTGGAGTAGTGACTTACAAATCTGTAAGCATGTCATACCTACTACAAATTTGTAAGGGAATATAATTTCTGATTTTTGGGTTTACTTTAAAGGAATTCATTATTGACTTAAAATAAATCAGATAATCATACCAAAAAGAATTTCTTTGAAACTTTGTAGAGGGTACAAAAAGTCAGCATTTACATGTAATGATGAGAATATGAGAGAATGAGAATATTAAGACCTTGATGTACATGTAATTTCACTTACTGCAAAAGGTAAGGTAAAAATATTGTTCTATCAAGGCACAAGAGGCAAAAAAATCAAAGTGTGCCACACATGTACATGTACATGTAGCTCACCATTGAACTTGATCGTAGCTTGGAGTACTATTGTATCTACTGTACATGAAGTCATTGTGTTTGGGGTTGTATAAGACAAAGTGCAGATTCCAAAGAGAAAGGGATCTGGTTCTTCAGATTTCCCAAATGCAGAAAGTAGGGAATCGAATGGGTACAGTACTGTTACATATACGTTTAACATCAGCACATGTTTAATAAATGTACAGGTTAGCAAGAATACCAACAATGTTATGATGGAAGCAGGCCATACTAAGAAACGGCGATCTTGTGTGCACAGGAAAATTTACGATTATAAAGTCTTTTTTACAGAGTACTAAAAATTCCACTCAAATTAGAGGCTACAGTACATCTATACATGTACATGTAATAGTAAACATGATTTAATGGGATTTTCTGAAGAAAAAACTTACCAAAGCCAGAAAACCTGAGAGAGAATGATTATCAAAGTTGCACCCCGGTACGTTTTCAATGGCCTGCTCACACTTCTTGACACCATGGCCATTTGTGTGCATACATGTACGTGCATAATCATAAATTTATTAGTGAAGAGGTAGACTTACATGTACATGTAATAACCATTAAACCAGTAGGCTTACTTACTGTATGTATACACATCAAAGAGGGCACTGTCAAGTTGTAGCTGGCTAGTCTGGATACCAGACTCGATGATTCTGACTACTCTACGAATCAAGGATCCAGTATCATCCAATGTCCACTTGACCACGACTGGAGGAATTCCTTCAGATTTCCGAAAATAGCTGAAATATATCAAAGTCATCCCATTTATATTCAGCATGTTCGGATGGTACCATTCATGTTCGGTTATTTCCAACCGGGTACATTTAGGTACATGTAGGCTTACTGTTGAACGTAAAATCCCGTATCCTAATGCTAGCTGTTGATCCTACAATATTTGACTTAACACTGAAATCGAAGGTCGCCTTGACCGAATAAATGCTTACTGTAGGTGAAATGCAGAATACAGTATAATGCCCACACATACACTGTACACTATGATACAGGGTGCATCACTGTAACGAAATTGAAAACACCCGGGCTCTCGACTTGACCCTTGTGTCATATCTGTTTATATCCGTGGGTGATGCCCTACCGAAGATTTTTTATCAGAGTCGTCAGGGAAACTTTGGGCAGGGAACCAGATTAGTAGCCGGCTAGATCAGCCAAATACTGTTTAGTTAATTTTTGCTGGCACTGGCTAAATATAATAAGGCAAGTACAGTACATGTACTGTACATGAAAGTTACTCTCTCTGTATTAGACTATACAGCGTGGGTTAAGGGAAAGTACCGGGTACATGTACATCAGGGGACAAAATTACAATGTTACTTCAGTGTCTTGGTGGCCCACAGGACCAGTGGGAAGGCACTGGCCCCCGTGAACCTTTGGTGGCCCGGGTTGAGTACCGTACATGTAATGAAATCGATCAGACCCACCACACATGCCCATTTGAGTCAGTTGAACTTCTCTACTAAAACAGTTGATTGGCCACCCTGGCTGGATATAGATGTACTTTTTGAGGCCAAAAACTAGTTCTGCTTTTGGTTACGTGACTGATCCTAAAGTTTTAGTGCGACTGCAAAATTTATATCCGTTAGTTTGAAAAACAGACTTAAAAAATTACTAAACGGGAAAACATCCTGTCTTTATAAAACACGTCTCAACAATTTTTTCACGTCTTAAAGCTTGTATTTTTTCTTTGTCTGCTTACATTTGCAACATTTGGAAAAAGTTTTGTTGTTTTCACAAGTTCCCTTCCCGTTTTGCTGTCTTGGTGGTGAAACAGCATGCAGTATTCCTCGATGCACAGAAGCAAGGCTTCACTGGTTCCTGCTGCGCCGTGCCACTGCCAAAGAAGGTGTGAACGTAACGTGGCAACCAGCTCATGCATCTGGTCAAATACATGTAGCATTGTACAGTTCACCGTACACACACGCAACTCTACAGCTAAACATTGAAAAAAATGATGTTGCAGGAAGATTTTTTCAAGTTACATGTAATTCCCAGAACTTGATCTGTTGTCTGTATATGTATTCACAAATTTAATTTGGGGTTAAATTGCTCATAGGGTACTTGACGATCGGCCCGATGCGGTCTCAACGCAACATGACTTGCAAAAGTTTCATTGGTGTCTGTGGGAGATAACTTTAAATTGTCATTGTTAGAAAATGATACCAGCCAACATATTAGTAGTCAGGTCATTCTCATGTATATGAGCTGTACATGTACTGTATGTACATTGTACAACTGTGCAATGAACAGAATGTCATGCCGCACGCTATGTGTGTACATGTACCGGTATGAGGCACACGAGCTTGGCGCATTGTACCGGTAGCAGGCAATCATGGCTGTGTGGACTGTGGAATGATATTGGGGACTCGAAAGCGCTGCAGCGCAGATTTGAAAGACGGGTCATAAAATGTGGTGCAAGTTTTGAAAATGTGGCAATGTTCCTCAAATGACCTCTGTCCCGTTGGGCCATTGTTTTTGGAGAATGTAGTGGCCTGATGAATTTTTCGATGGCCTCGGGCCAGCGGACTACCGTTAATTACGTACACATGTATAAGTATCGGTAGTAAGAATTACTGGTCCTGAGGTGTACATGTAGCTCAGTTTAACTACCTCCTGATGTGAAGAAAAAACTACCACGTGACAGTAGGGTGGATAGTCACCGGGATGATGTCACCGGGGCATGAATCATTTTGACATATACTTCCTTGACACATGGTAGAATTAGCCAATGACGCGCTCGTACTTGTTTGTGAATATTTATGAGGTGTATGCCTAATAATTTCATGTACATATACACCAAAATACTTGAAGCTTCTAAATCACATTAGAAGATTGTTATAATTGCAGAATTCTTTTAATCCATCACCATTATAAGTGTTTCTCTTTTGCTTTTCCATTTGTTTTTCTTGTATTTGTCAGGTGGTTGGACCAGCTTTGCTGTGATGTTTAGCCTGACTTCAGCAACTTTCATCTGATTAAAACACCTGACAGTTCCATGCTGACAGTTCTGTGCTTTGTGGATTGAACTTCTACTTGAATCTGTCTCTGGTTTGAGCAGAAAGTGAAACTAATCAGCCATTTTAGTGAATGAATGGTCATCCATTCATGTGGATTGTGCCATTACAGCTGAGAGCTAACTTGACTTGATAGTCAAGTTCCACTTCACTTTGTAATTGTCTCAACTTACCGGTACACGTTTGGTCCACCCCAATTCGCAGAAGCCATTTGTGAGTTAAGAAACGTTATGGGCTGTGCACCAAGTATAACTGTATCTCAAAGTGGTGTGGTATACTGCAGAGACTCTGATGAATCAAATTCTCCAAAACCTTCATTCAGTCAACAGCAGATTGTGCATATAAGAACAGGTAATGCACCTGAATTATCGGATACAGGAATTTCAACAACCGGCACAGCAGTCACTGTTTACAACAAGAAAGAGCGAAGAGGAACAATAAGTATTGAAGCAGAGACACAGACCAGTAAATCAACTGTAAGCATGAAGGTAAGATAACACCTTGCAGTTACACCATTTACATCATGTAGTGGTACACATATACATGTATACGTGCACATACATGTATGCGATACTGGTACAAATGTATGACATCTACATGTACATGTAGATGAGAAAAATGGTTTTTAGTTAAAACAGGACGCTGAGCGACTTTCGTATATATATATATATGTAGTTTGCCAAATAAACACAACAAAATGGTAATATGGTGTCTGTAGGTTCTTAAACTGGGCTTCTAATGAAAAAATATCGTGCGATGGCAGTGGATTGACTCAGGTTTCCTTGGAGTGCAAAAGTTCAGTAAATTTCGACAGTCACGCACGTAGTAGCTGTACCAACTAATGAAGACATGACTAAGGTCGTGACCCCATCCTTGTTCCCTGTTGTAGGAAAAGTTTCATCTTCATGTTGCCCATACATACTAGGTACGAGGCTGTGTTTATGTGGTTTTACTGGAATGCAGCAAGTGTAGGCTCGACGCGGTACACAACGCACGTTTGTAACCGGTTATGAACAGGACGCGATTGCAATCACGGTGAGACAAGTCTGCAAATTTAATTTGTGGCAACAGTTGCAGATTCCTTAGGCATTCTAAATTTACAGGTGGGTTATTTTTAATTGATTGGGCCAACTTGACAAACTGAAACATTCGGCGGTGAAAGAGCAGCATCAGCGTGCACGCTTGTAACCGCTCAGGATGCCACATCTTATGAACTTTACCATAAGCTAAAATGACTTAACAAAATACATGTACAGTACATGATCTGTCAGTTGTTCTTGCTGAACTTGTACTTGCATTCAGAAGGCATAACAATATCAAACATACCAGAAAAAAACTCAAACAACATTTACAACAGTCATTACAGACAATTTAATCTGTCAAATGTTATTGCCATATCACATTTTAGTGTCTCATGTGACCTATTTTCAGAAGTTGCACAGTCAACTTCACGAATGAATATCACGTAACAGCCATAATATCAAGTATATCTGTGCAATTTTTCATGTAAACTATTGGTACATGTATGTGTATGCATTTTTTTAGTACATGTACTTTCTTCATCAAAAATTGGTCTGTCTAAAAGAAAGTTATATGCCTTTTATTTTGGGCTATCAAAAGTGATGTATCAAAGTTATATTATTTCCACACTAAACCCATACCCAAGTACTGCAGTGCAAGTTTCCTATTTCCCCGCGTTTACACAATGTTTCAACTGGGTAATTCCGTGAAAAAGTGTCAGTTGCCCCAAATTTTAAATTGACGTCCTACAAATAAATTTGACATTATTTGAAAGAATGATGTCTGGACTATTCGAATCAGATTTTGTTTCCAGGTTTTTGTTTTTATTTTAAATTTAACATCATGAAAATTTGTGTTTAAAATTATGAAATTACAATTTCTAAGCCCATTTTACACACTTTTTTCACCTACTTTCAAATTACAATACAAGATTTAATGTGTTTTTAGGTTTTGAATAATTTTGCATAGGGTTTACCTTGAAAAAATGTGTAATTGTCAGGTTTTTCCTCATTTACATGGCAACGCTCTTTTAAAAGCTAGTTTAAGCTGATAAATCCATTAATCAAAATATTTGATGAAAAATATGTGTAAATATGCAAATGAGCGTCAGGGACATTACACTTTGTATGTCATGGACATTACAAAAATTTATGTCATGGACATTACGCATCTTGCTTACAGCCTTAAAACTCCCTCTTGAGACAATGGAACAGTCTGTTTATGCAAGTGAGAGGACCTCATTTGGATGAAAAAACTAGATTAGCCAGTGATTGAAGCTGTTTTGGAAGACGCAATCAGCCATACTTTTTGTGAGCACATGGCATTTTTAGCATAGCCAAACCTGCATTCTGAACACATTGTCACAAAGGCCCGAACTTTCATGTAAGTTTGCTTTTTTGTGAAGTTTGTTAATGCTTGTATGGTGACTGCTGGAATAAAATGTGTTAGTACATGTACTTGTGCAAAATGATCTAATTTATAAATTTTGACTTAATATTTAACAGCAAAAGCCCATAACAGGGCCGTGGCCTAGGCTAGTACCATGCTTGCAAGTTGCATAATGAAATATTTAATTATGATATTGCATCATACATTGTAGGTGGAGCAAGTAGACAGTGATTTGATGATGATTTCGTACTTGGAAAAGAAAGGAAACAACTTCATCTGGCCAACTCCATCAAAGAAGTCAACCCAAAGCATCAAATCAGATTTCTTTGGCTTTGTTGAACCTGTGACTTGTACTGGTATTTCTGGGTCCTGACCAACTTTAAAAATCACAGAAAATTTGCAATTTAGACCCGGTTTGAGGTTTTAGCTCTAGGAATTTTTCAGTAACAACAAGTGTGAATACAAGTGCTACATGTACATGTGTCTTGTATGGTAGTGAAGAAATTAGGATGGGGTACTTGTGGGTTTTTAAGTTTCACTGTTACATATTGTATACAAGTACAATTGACAAAATTGAAGGCCTCAAAATGATTAAATTTAGTTTGCAAAAATTGACAGAGCTGATTTTCTCAGCAAACATTAGTAACGAGTGCTCACATTTCTCAAAATATGTTGCAATTGATTGCCAATGGTACTGTAGGTCCATGGCTGTTTTGACTTGTTTTCTTGGCACATTTTATTTCATTTATTTGTGGGCTGTATATTGAAAATTTGGACGCGTAATGTCCATGACAAACAAATGTAATGTTCTTGATGCCTAATTAAGACTTATAACGAGAGAGTGAAGAGCCATTCTAATTAGTGTTACCATTTTGCTTGTTGACTGTTTCGTACCTCACAGTATTAAAGCCATTTGAAACAAAAACAGATTCTAACTTCACAGAGTTTTCGTAATGATTGTGTTGGTCACAATACCCATGTCCTCTTAGCCCAATGTCCATGATGCTCGTTAGTAATGCTTGTAGCTCAATAACTAATTATGATTTTATTAATGTGCAAACTGCTTGATAAAAACAACATTATATGTTACCAGAGGCAAACAATCAAGTGGTTTTAACTTCATAGTCAGTCAAATTGACGACTAAAGTTTGAAACCTGCGTCCAAATGTATTGTCCATGATGGTGGAATTGCCCAACTCTGTCAGCTCATGCATTCAGAATGAGCCTCTGCATCAAGTGACAGACACGTACATGAACATGCAGGAAAATACATTTTCACGAAGAACCAGTCTCTGGTGACTTTTATTGCCTAGATGATGGCATCATCACCACAGACTGTTAAGAAAAATCACAGAACGATTCTAAATATGCCAAAATTTTGAATCTAAACCTTGTTTGAATTGATGAATGTAACATTGTTGACAAGCCCAAAGTGATTCAACCAGATTATTCTGCCTTGGTTAGCTGCTTTGGGCTAGTGCTGACCTCATGGCCATGTGTAAGGTTTTAGTTAAAGAGAAACACATACATTGTAGAACACAAGAAACATCTCTTTTCTGTGTGATTGCCTTCAAGTTTCCACTGAATTCTACTTAGAGGAAGGTTGATGATGTGTCCGAATATAAAGTAAAAGATGTCCATGTGCACTGGTAAAGTATTCTTGCCAACTTGTCGTACTTCTTCCTGAGGTCAGGCAATACCACACAATAGATTAAAAGGTATTTAAATGAGCCCTCAGTTCATGTAAACTTCTAATCTGTTATGTGGTGATGCCATACCTCAGCAAGGAGTATGATAGGTTAGCAGGTACATTACATGTACATGTATGTCACTACATGTACAGTACATGTACTGTATGCACATGTACATGTACATATACAGCACTCAACCTCCGAGCTTGCCCCCGTGCAAGTCAGATGTACATGTACACTGTAGCAGCAGATACCGCAAACTACTGGTAAATTACAATTGCCCCTGTATTTCTGATCATTTCTGTACGTACATGTACCAGTAGGGCATCTCTTGGTATAAAATCATCAGCGCTCGGTATCTTCCTACTGTAAAGTACAGTATCTTTGTTGGCATTGTAGGTGACTTGAAAGGGCTGAAAGGTTATGTTTTCCCGAGTGTGGCTCACTAGTATGTTTATAGGTCATTGATAGAAGGTTACATTAAAATGCAGTCAAGGATTACAGGGAAATTGTTACAACTATTCGTCAAGATACCAGTATTTCAGAAATTGTTTGTCATTGCTGCCATCGTCGTTGTCTTTCTTGTTGCTGTTCAAGTCAATTTCTTTTGTTACAGTTGTGATGTCACAGTTGGAAACCATGTCAATAAGCCCATAAGCTTTTTAGGTAATCCTTAGGCTTCAGTCCTGTGTACCCATACAGCAAAATCTGTTTTTGATCGTTTTTTTCTTTTTGTTGTTCGTTCATACATTTTTATTTTTTTTTTACTGTGTATGGTTTTTACATTTTCCCCTTTGTTATTTTTAAACAAATTGTAATTTTTTTAATTTGTGAAAGTGAATTGTAAATTGATTGTATGAATTGCAGTTTGTAGGAAAATTTAATGTAATCTTTTTATCCTGCATGTACATGTAGTTCTATGTAACTTTTTGTGCTTGTACCTTTTTGCCTGTAATATAATAATAATAAATAAGTGTAAATAAATAGAGCATTTACAACTGGAGACTGTACACTGTACGTGCACCTCAAGTAAATGGTAATTGTGCAATTCAACAAGTTCGCAATTTTCTCCAGACAGTACACAAAAGTCTGTAAAGGTCACTGCCTTGTTGGTTCGAAAGATATTCTGTACAGTCCAAATTCACCAAAAATACTGGTAGGCATCACAGTAGGATGATTTTCCAAACAGAATATATGGCACTAGCAATTCTCTTTTTTCCAGTTTTTAGTCACATGTGTTAATATGATTTTTTTGGTTCATTGGAAGGAGACATTTTGCAAATGGCAGTACGTATAAACTAGTTCAGCAGTACCAGAACATATCAGATTAATTTTTTATGAATTAATGTTTGCAGGGTACGACGAATGAGGTGACCTTTGGACCTATGAAGGTGTGTCAACGAACAATGCAGGTAAGAAAAGTCATTAAATCTACGGTATGTACGTGATGTACTTGTAGAACTGAATTAGTTTTGTTCATTTAATTCAACACGTACATGTATAGTATGTGTACATGTATGTACAGGACAGATTTGCTGAACTGTTTATGTAAAATATCCATGTCAAATGTCGGTGCCCCATGTACATTCAACTGCAAATTACCATACATAATGGCATACTTGTGATCAACAAAATTTCTCAAAATCTTGAGATGGATAATATAAACAGTCGACTCTCAATGTAAGGAACACTGTTGTAACAAAATACTGTCATAAAGAGCCAATTCTGAGAATCCCAAATTCTTGAATTCTTGTGTCCTTGTTTTTCTAGTCCTCTTATAACCACTTCCTGGTTATAACAAACTAATTTCTCTGATCCCTATATTAGGCCAGACTGCCTAACAGTAGCATCGACCGCTAGGTTTCACAAATTGTAAGTGAAAATTTAAATTTTCACCGGCTGTAATCCCAAAATGTGTCTGTGTATGACTGATCTGGTACAAGCAACATCACTTTTTGAAATGCTTGATGAACTTCATAGTAGCAAAAACTTTGTTGGAATTAAAGCAGTGCACTGTTATTATGGAAATCATCTTGTGTGTCCATCCTGCGACAGAAGAGTGCAAAAGAATCACCAACAAATCCAGTGTGTACTCTGTGAGGAAGTATTCCACATGAAGTGCGTAGGCATGACTCTTCGCACATACATGTATAAATTCTACAAAACAAACAATAAGTTGCCATATACATGTACTTGTGCTACAAGTGCCCTGCTTCAACTCAGTGACTCCTTTTTTGATATGTCCAATTTCAACACTACTAGGAGCCAGGCCCAAAATTTGCATATGCTGGACATACCTCCGCATCTTGATTATAACAATCCTGATTCTGTTTTTAATGATCTGCCAACAAAAGGTATTCGAATTGCAAGTTGGAATTGGAAAGTTGTGCAGCTTAAGCTGATTTTACATGTACATGTACGTAAAGGCTCCGACCTGTGGATGTGATTGGGATTTCTGAGATCTTTCTTTGACCACAAGATGATACCAGCTCATTGAAAATTGATGGGTATCATATCTCAGAGAGGCGAGACAGGCCTGACAAGCTACATGTAGGAGACCGGTTATTAGTATACATCAGCAGTGCCATCTTGAATCTGATTGTGCTGAAATTATGTGGCTACAGATTTAGCCCCCCCCCCGAGCTTAGAAGTTCCTTGTAGGCTATGTCTACAGACCCCCAAGCACCAATGTCAAGACAGATTGCATAATTGTACAAAATTTTGAGCATGCCATTAATCTCAACATGGATGTTTTTATTTTGGGAGACATTAACATGAATTTTTTCAAGCAACCCCAACAGTCTTTGATCAGAAATCTCAACTTGGGTTATACGCAGGTGGTTTCCGAAGTGACTTGATTTATTTCAGAAACGTGTTTGGACCATATTTACCGGTATGTAAGTAACCAGTCAACTGTTCAATCTGTAATTGTACCTCGTATTGGATTGTCTGATCACTATCCGCTTGTGGTTACGAAGAAACATAATGGTTCATTTGCTAAAATGTCCTCCCATCGTATCATTTGATTCAGAATGTCAAACATATCAACAAAAATGAATTTAGGCGGGATCTGAATAATGTTCCTAGGAATAAGTTAGATTCTATCTCTGACGCAATGGACGTCTCCTCTAGAGCAAGATGTATACTGACGTTGTTGATAAGCATGCTCCTTTTATGTCTAAACGAGTAAAGCTTCTTCAACAACCACCATGGTGGAGTAACGTCATTCAATCAGCAATGCGTATGAGAGACAAACTTCTACAGGGCACTAAATTTAGTTGAACCCGTGATGATACGCTGTTACTTGCTTACAGGAAAGCAAGAAACAGAGTGAACTTTGCTACAATTTGGAACAAGCTGGGTGGGGAGCTTAAGGCCATTATGAATGTTGAAACGTTTAAGCAGAGGCTACTCCAGTGGCTGAAACAAAATGTATACAAGTGTGATTCTTTCGCCATTGACCGCAATTTTTAGATGGATAGACCAGTGACCTGTTCTGATGCATATGTATTTTTAAATCTTGAATATATTCCTGAGGTTGCTTTTCCTCGAGTGTTGACTGCAGGGTTTGTTAGAGTTGGGGGGGAGGGATATCCACAATCCCTTGATTCTGATATCACCTTTAATTTCTATTTGTTTTTAATTTTATGGTCCTTTTATATTACATTGTGATACATGTTATGATTTTTTTAATAGTCCATGTCTGTAATTCTTTTATATTGATTTTCCTAATGGTGCATGTATATTGGAATATTTCTATAGTTAATGTGCTGTATGTTTTAATACTTGCTTTAATTAAGTTGCATATTACTTTGGACTATTTTAATATTGTTAGATGGCTCATTGAAAATCATTTGTTTTTTAGATGGCATGGTTACCCTCTGTAAATAAAGCTTATTATTATTATTTTTTGTTTTTTCAGTGAGAGTTGACTGTAATTAACCAGCCCGTTGAAATTGTACCACTGTGCATATGTGTAGTTTTATACATGTATTTTGAGAAAATATGTTTTTCTGTGAGAACTTGATTCAGAAATTGCCCATATCATGTCTTGAAGTTCACCCAACATGTACTGTATGTACATGTATCCCTTGAACGTAATTCCCATTTAGCCAGTTGTACATGTACAACTGTGGGTACATGTACATGTAGATGCATACTGTACATGTACCGGTACATGTGACTATCACATGATTTTTGCTATTGTGTAAATCCTGTCAACAAACTTGTTGCATCTATTTACAGATTTGCCCAATTAAAAATTTATCATGAAATACATGTGCACCAATACACTGTTTTCAATGGATAAGAAGGGCACAAAGGAACCAGTTCATTCCAGAGATTGTGGTCGCAATGCCAAATCTTGCCCTGAATCATGAGGTACATCTACAGTACATTGCGTTTGAAAGTTAACGCTGCAAAAGGAATGGGAAAAAATGCGAAAAGCATTCACATTCACATTTTGACCACGACTGCAAATTCGCAGCAAATCAGATGTGAAAGGGGCAAACGACATGCGAAAACAGTGTGAAAATTGTGCAAAAACAGTGCAAATTTTCGTTTGGCGAACACGGCGTGAAACATTTGCGAAAACATTGAGAAAAAAACAGTGTACGTTCAGCATGACATATCAGGTCTTTTCACTTGGATTTTCTGATGATATGTCACTTTCTGTGGTCGCATGGTTGTTGGAAAAAGTCAGTGATTGGACTGTCCTGTTGCAATGGGTGTGGATGCAGTGCGTGCTTCGTGATACGGCATGCACGAGGTCCCTTGGCAGTTTTTGAAGAGATTTGGTGATTGTTTTGATCGGCGTCAGATAACCGAATACAAGGCATTTATTCCTAAATTACGGTACATCCATCTGCCAATACTTGTAAACATACATGTAATTCATATACATGTACATGACAACATGTGGATAAATCTACTTGTATCTGTACATGTGCACATGTACGATGTGTTCCGTGTCCATCTGAGTCGGTTATACGCTAGGCTGTGCGGTTATAATGCTTAATTCTGTTAGGTCCCCTTGAGAGCGCTATAACAGGAATCTAATGTAATTCAGCTGTTCGATGTTCACTGCTGGTCTCTGACCTCCACCATAGCCAACTTTGATTTTGCCTGTCGCATTGTATTTTGCTCAAAGCTTGTTCTCTTTGAATTTTATGGCTTGAAATAAGATTAGTACATTTTCACTTTCAGTAATAGAGGGTTTCATGACAACTGGCACGGGGCATGCAAAGTTTGCGTCACGCATCGTTTGGGTTTTGTACAAGTTTTCAAACAATTTTTGGATTTTAACTTATCAAAATGTCAGTGCAACACAAATGTATAATTGTCTCAAGAGGCTCTGACTTGGATACAATCTTTGACAAGACTGATACTCAAGTTACAGATCCGCAGTAAAAATCAGTGGATGGAATACACCGCAGACCAGCAAAATCACTTTTTAATTAAAAAAAGGGAGCAAAGCTATTATTTTGTTTGGACTAATGTTAACCACTTCCTGCTGGATGGGTTTCTCTTGAGCGGGATGAGATTTGCGGGACCTTTTCAAGATTTCAAAATTC